TTCCATAATTTGCTCATTTTGTAAGAAATTACAATCTCTATATATTAATTCCACATTTGAATGCATTCTGTCTTGTTGGAGTTGAATTTATTTTTCTTGTTTGAGGTGTTTGCCAACTTTCCCAGCGTCAGAGATTACTCCCACAGCTGTTTGTTTACTTATTATTTTGTACTTGAACTTTCTGTCCTATCTTGCTATTTTAACGGTAAAGTTATCTATTTTTTAATCATAAAACATCATATACTACTGAAAGGGTTAGCATTGTTAACATGTGATTGGTTGGTGCTACAGGAGCCTAGACGGACATGGTGGATAACTGTCCATTTTCAGATATTGTAAGATCCAAATACCAATTTCGTAGCCTGTGATTTAATCGTCCTCGGCATCGCTGTAAAATCATCTCCTCTCTGTTTTCGCAGCTTCTGCAGCCTCGTTATGTTGCTAAATCCTCCGTGGCCATTCGAATGTAATTTTTTTTAAAACTGTTAAAACACTTCCATCTGTTTACCATGGTAACCCTCGCTCTGTCTTACACACACACACACACACACACGCTGCTGCTGCTGCTGTACTGCAGCCTTGAAATGATGTGAAATTCTGTCTTTATCCTATAATAAAGGCAGTAACCTCAGTGAACATCACTGTCCTGGTTCACCGACATCATCACCGTCTGTTTGCTGAAACTCTCATCTCTTCTCTTTTCTCCTCTGATGATCAGAGACCTTGTTAAACCCACTGAGCCCGGATTTAAAGTTATACTTTAAGCAGTTTTCTGTGATTGATTAATAATCCAGTGATTAGAAATTAGCCTAATTTCAACACAATGACCCACTGTGCATTCTTCAGTCTGTAGAAACCCAATGTCTCTCTTCTCATCATGCAATAATAAATTATATAAATGTCATATGTGGTTTGTGATGTGCAAACCTGCTCCAAATGTCCACTTTTATCTCTACCTGACCTCTGGCTTTACCGTCACACCGCAGTGTCTTCCGTTTAAATCTCTTCCTCTTTTACGCCCACGTGTTGCAGCAGCTGTCATTTAGGCCCCAAAATAATAAATCAATTCTCCAAAGAGACCTCAAGCCACTCCGAGCAGAAACAAAGGAGATGAAATGTCAGAGTCCAGCAGAGCTGCGGGGGATTTGACGTGGGCGTGATGCAGAGAAAGTTGACACATAAAAGCACACTCGTGCTTTGAAAGTGTGACCCCTCAGACAATTTCAGATGATGACAAGCTGTCCTCTCTGGGTGCATTCACACCCTCTGATGGCTGCAGCAGGGTTGTGGTGATTAAGTAGTGTTTGTTAAATAAGGAAAAACCTTTG